TTGGATACAAAGGAAATACATTGTTAAAAGATCAATCCATTTTTATTGCAGAAAATGGATAAGTTGATTCCTAGTATGGCTCTGAAAAATTAGTCTCTATAAGTGCTGGCATCGACGGTTCCTTGTTGGTACTCCAAGAAGAGAATGGTGTGAATGACTATAAATTGCTTAAATGGTAGATTGTAGCCTAAAAATGGTGCAAAGTTAATGGTACCAAAGGTATAAATCTCTCAGTATACAATGAAATTTCAGTCGCTATTGTCGATTCTAGAGGACTTCTAAGTTTGTCATCACAGGTTGGACAACAAAGTGAGGTTGCTAAAATTAACTCTAATCCTGGAAATTAATAAAATACACCTTAGCCAATCTTGAATAGTAGCAATACCGATTGGGTAAGAACCTCAATACCAGGACATCACTACAATAAACTCACTCTCCTGAAAAGTGCATAGCCAGGGAAATTCACACCATAGGAAGTTTTAGCTTCATTTAATACTAGTTCTGATATCTTTGTGATATATAAGGCAAGCACCTCCAAGGTAGTGGGAGCCTATTTCTAAGATCTTTTTGCTTTACCTATAAGTGATTGGCATCCAACTGAGAATGAGAAAGAAAGACATCTTCAGTAATATACAGCAGTCTTAGCTGTCACAGAAAGAATAATATTAGATCATCCTCAAAGTTCTAGTCCTCGTGATAGTTGGCTGTATCAGTTTAGATAAGACCTAGCTACTGGGGTCAACAACGATAGAGGTATATTCCACTTCCATCCCGAATGTATCATCAATTCACCAACAGTTAACACAAAAGAATATCCTTAAGATTATTTGTGGTCTGGGATGCAAATGTTTCTGCTGAGTTAATGATTGGAGGTACCGATTAGGGTAAAGACAGTTATGTTTTTCTTACTTGTGTTCAGATTGATATATATCGTGGTGAATAGTGAGTATTATTTACCTCTTCTTAATTTATCATGAATTTATATTTTAACCTATATACATTTCCAAAATATTTAATTAAATTTAATTATAGTACTTTTAAATTTTGTATTAATACATTCAAATGGGGTTTTGGGGTTTTGGGG